CTCCAAGCCTGGACATCCACGGAAGCTGCCGCGCCGCTCTCTGTACAGCCTGGACAGTCCTCTACAGCCCCCCAAGCCTGGACATCCACGGAAGCTGCCGCGCCGCTCTCTGTACAGCCTGGACAGTCCTCTACAGCCCCCCAAGCCTGGACATCCACGGAAGCTGCCGCCGCTCTCTGTACAGCCTGGACAGTCCTCTACAGCCCCCCAAGCCTGGACATCCACGGAAGCTGCCGCCGCTCTCTGTACAGCCTGGACAGTCCTCTACACCCCCCCCCAAGCCTGGACATCCACGGAAGCTGCCGCCGCTCTCTGTACAGCCTAGACAGTCCTCTACCGCCCCCCCAAGCCTGGACATCCACGGGAGCTGCCGCCGCTCTCTGTACAGCCTGGACAGTCCTCTACACCCCCCAAGCCTGGACTATTACACCAGCACCCCCGTGAGAGAGAATGAATGTGAGATCGAGCGGCGTGTAGCGGGGATGTGGTGGACATAAAGATTGGTACCACCGTACCAAGGACTTATTGGCTGCACACAAGGCGCAATATAACGCGCTCAATATTCGATAGGGGCACGGGGAGGCAGGATTCGTAGCTCTATAGCTCTCTATAGGGGCACGGGGAGGCAGGATTCGTAGCTCTATAGCTCTCGTCTCATTAGATAATGGACGATAGCGAATATTTTCCTGTGCGGGAGCGCGCGGGAGCCAAAACAGTTGTAGTCTCGGAGAGGCATGATTACCCGTGGACAAAAATGCTGCCCTGAGAACGTCACAGAGAAACAGTAGTATACCCCGCGGAAATGTTAGAAAGAAATGTTTGTGCCATGGGAGATTTTTAGATACGTATTTCTTTATTCTGGGAATGTTAGACAGTGGCATTTGTACGCTGGGATCGTTAGACAGTAACTCAAACACCCAGCGAACTTCACAGACGAGTTTCTGCACCCTGGGAATATTAGACAGAAATATTTGTGCGTTGGCAACATAAGACAGTAACTCATTTAGAACTTACTGTTGTAACTCTTACAAAATTAGACGGTAAAGATGCAGTAAGTTTGCATTCTGAGCGCAGACTATGAGAAAAACAATTATGACTGAATATTACAACGGAAACGACCATACACTATATATAGTGTAGCCACGCGGTGAATTTGAGCGATGCTACCCTAGGCACGGAGAGCTCGGGCGAGTGTCTACCCTAGGCAGACGGAGTCTCGCCTGATTGTCCCAAGGACCATGAACGTCGTTAGACTAATGCGCGCAATCTCCGATTAAAGAATTCCGCACAGAGAAGCGCATAATTCAATCGTCGAGATGTGTACACACACACACACACTAAACAACACCCATTTAATCTCATGGTAGGCGATTCTAAATTTAAACTGACTTTAATGTCATGGAATAACGCATGCGCAGTGTGTTCATTTTTGGACTGCAAACATTTTCTACAACCCTCTCAACACTTTATATATATTGATCGGAAATTCAAAAATTCGGAAACTCAAAAAGTCGCAAAAGTCTCATGTCTTCCATAATTAATGACAAATTAATAGACACTACGATTTTTATGGATGGATAGAGAACTGAGGTGAAATTCTCTATACTAGCTGTGAGTTTGTTTGCCGAAAATTTCTTAGCCACCACAAACAGTTTGTAGGCCTAAAAAAATCTTAGCCACCACAAACAGTATATGAAATGCCACCTCTAAAAAGCGCCATCTACCGCCATTTTATGAATAAATGGTGGTAGCAGTATTAATAATCCAGCTGCTACCACCGTTGTCGCTGTCATATCGGTTTAGTCTGTTAAGATCTTCATATAATTTCACCCGCTATCTCGCCTGTGAGTGAGAACTCATACAACTGACTCTTCCCGCTCCTTCTAGCGTGTTCAATCGGCAGCTTATCACATCTGCAGCATCATCATACACAACACAGCGTGAGGCAATTATTGTATATCTCAGCGACATCGGGGGAGCGATCGCACAAAAGACAAACACACGAGGCAAACATTCTACATAATGACGCACACGCAGTCTTACATAGCGCCTGTAAATTGAATTATAATGAGGACGTGGCGCCATCTGGTGCGTCGATGTGACAAATGCTCCATTAGCATTCGTTTACGTCGTATAACTAACTATAAAAGGATGTTTGGATTGCGGGGAGTAGTTGCGCTAGCAGGCGGGAATGATCGCTCCCGGGGGTGATATTTAGCCAGGCAAGCGGAGATATTAGCAGTAGCAGCATCCGCATGCGAGCCTACACCCTGAAGAGTGATTCGCAGGAGCTCGGGTTGATGCGGAATAGTAAGATGCAGTGATGTTGGGGTGCTGAGATGTTGGGGAGCTATAAACGCTAGGATGCTGTTAGATGCTGGAATGTTATTGAGATGTTGGGATGCTGTTGGGATGCTGGGATGTTGTTGGGATGCTGGGATACTGAGATGCTGCTAAGATACTGGGATGTTATTTGGATGCTGGGATGCTGGGATGCTGGGATGCTGGGATGCTGGGATGCTGGGATGCTGGGATGCTGAGATGCTGGA